ACTGCGGGGAACCATGCAAAAAACGCATCTTCGCACGGGCAGCCTGTGCGTTGGCCAATTATTTTTACACCGCCAGTTTATACGTTGCTCAAGTGCATCGCATCAAACCCATTTATTTGAGGTTTATTTCACTTCGTATCGACGCATTTTTTTTATTTTTTAGGCCGCGTTTCCCTCATTTGAGCATACCTTCGCCCCAGTTCTCCTTATTCTTGGATCTGGCAATTCATAACTTGATTAATATTAAGTAAAACAGCAGTGGGCGCAGCATTGATATATTTTCCAAAAAAAGTCAAAAAAGGATGAGAAAAAAATCAATATCCCACTTCATTTTGGCGAGAGTGTTTCGAGTATTATTTGCACTTGGGTCTGCTTGTAAACGTGCACGCATGAATCTATCCAGCAAATCGTTCACCAGTGGATAATTGTTGATTTCGATTACCGGTTGTTCATCATCCGAATCCTCATCCTCGGAGCTTCCCGAACTGCTAACCTCCGAAGACTGGGTTGTTGTAGATGTTGGATTGTCTTCCGGTGATGATATCTCTCGACCAGTCTGCACGTCCTGTATTCTCGCTCGTTGCAGCAGGAAATTAAGTAGCGCAACAAAAAATGCGGTTTTGGAAAATTTGATCAAACTTATTTGTGAAAAAAGAGAAATATTATTTTGCTCTGAGTGTGGCTTTTCACTTTTTTGAGCAGGGTGTAGGTTGGTGTAAGTTTTCTCGAAATAAAATAAATTCTTTGGTAACTTCGTTTCTCACTTCCTTTTGCAGTGTATCTAATGATTTTCTGATGCGACATGTTTGTAAGGGCAGTTTTAGCATTTTTTAAAAAAATTATAAAATACTTTATTTGCTGTATTAACAAAAGTTTTAATGACAAGGAGTCTTCACCAAAAGGCCATAGAATGTGTTGATGAAAAATCTCGAAATTCCACCGACGCGAAACTTTTGAAGGACAGAAAAACTCCATCACCCGCCGGTAGTGGCGTCCTTCAGCAGCAGCGCGAATGACACGCTTTATCAGTAGGAATCACATGCTGACAAGACCGTCGTTGGGAATCATCATTTTTTTTTCGAAAA